CACCGTATCGGCTGCAACCCTGCAGAATAAAGGTAAAAATTACCCAAAAGAAGTGCTAAATCCAGGGTTCAAGGAGGATAAAAGATCTGAGAGACAAAAAATTGTTGGCAAATCGGAAAAGTGTCTTTTTCTTAGACAAACCAGCAAGTTCAATACGCCTCAAACATTTTCCAGATTAAACTACAAAAGAAGCACTTCTCCAGACAAGATACATAAAATCCCATACATAAACAAATGCATGATAATCATAGGCAGATTGCAATTGATCAGTCATACATATGTCCAACTGCTAAGAAATTTTTGTTTAACAAAATCAAAACTGTGACAAGGAAAGATAACTCGGACAATGTCGCACCTCAATATTGTAAACACCAATTTTTCCATCAAAAGAAGATGTTGATATTACTCCAGGAATCTTCGGGTACCAGTGCACATCAAAGTTCCAGTTGGTACCAGCAGGCAACTCACAGACAATCTATGCCCCAAAAGAAAAAAAAAAAAAGGAAAATCACAATTCAGAATATACTCGTTTGATAAAGGGGACAGGTAGAATGCCAGAAGGAATGCTGAGCATATCAATAATTCACTCATTCCTCAACCTCTCCAGTAACTGTATCCCAACAAATAGTCCGATTATCTTTGGCACATGTGAGCAAATAAGAGCTGTCAGAAGGACACCACGCCATTGCAATTACACCTGCAAAAATACATGCAATCAAATATAAGAGCTTAAAAAAAACACAACTCCTATTTAACTTACGACAACAAAAGACCCAGGAAAATAATGTATAAACTTCTAAATGAATGGAGAGATGGATAACTATCAGACCAATTAAATCAGAGACAAAATCCTAAGTTTATCATGGATCCCTGAAGCAAACCCTTCTGACTGAATAGCACCTATTCAATAAAAAATATATATATTTCTCATTCCAACTTTAGGAAGCTAATTAAATACATCTCATATTATATGGTCTAGTATTAGGTTAAACTGAAAGAATTAAGTAATGATTTAGCCCTTCCATCATCATTCCCATTCTTGTTGAGAAAGTTTTTCAGGCTGCTGCTTTTTAATTTTAGAGAGAAGAGTGAAAAAAGTGAAATAGCAAACATTAAATGGCATATAATTGTAGTATCAAGGACAGAAACAAACACCCAAAAGTAAAGAAGGTAAAACTACCAACAAGTTTTAAACAACACATCAACTTGTCAAGCATGGTTACCTTTTGTGTGCCCTACAAACTCCTTCACTGGTGACATTATATTCCGCATATCCCAAAGCTGCTCACAAAAATACCAGAAATTTACAAATTCCCCACAAATAGTAATCCTCAATAGAAGCAATATCATCCACAATATCATTACCCTAAGTGCGGGGGAACCATCTTCATCAGATGCAACAACAAGTTGAGTGGCAACATCAGGATGCCACTGCAAAACAGAACATCGTCTTCTTACTGAATCTGCAAAACTGTCAATTAAAATAAAATCAGATTAGGTCAAATATTGTGCCAGGTGACAAGGGAGATAACATGCAGACACCCATAAAACTTTCGCTTGGTAGATAACATGAAACATACCTTATCACTGGTTTTTGCTTCTTCAAGTCCCAAACAACTGGAAAAATAAAAACATACATATTAACTTCCCTGCTAAACAAAAATGACAAGACAAATAGTCTAGAGTCCATTCATCTGCTCACCAGTTGTTCCATTATATGAAGTTGATGCCAATATATGTTGAACCTTGCTATTCCAAGACAGAAATGAGATTTCACCTTGAGCAGCAGAACCACTACCCTGCATCATGACCACAAAACTATGTCAGATCAAGGTATTCTTATAGACTGATTTCTAGCTGAACCACTAATATATCTTGAAAAGGTATGCTTGCTACAGTAATGATATGACAAAGACAGAGAAGGGAAAGGCATTTAGTAGAATACCAACGGCATAATAAAACTTATGAGATTGTTCTAAACAGCATAATAGATGCATGAGGTTTCCAATTCAACAAGTTATGGATGAATGGCACATACCCTAAGAGGCGGAAAATGAGAGGCTTGTGCAGGTGCTGCCAAATCCCAGATGCAGATTTCACCATCATCAGCCCCAGATGCTAGTAAGTTCGGGGCAATGAAATTGAACTCAAGACCACGAACCTGTAATATGGGGAAAGGAAAAGAAGTAAACACACTATGCAACACCATGCAATCTTCAAATGCTTGATGACAAATATCATCTATGTCAAAACAATTGAGCATTTATTACAGAAAAAGTAAACTCACAGGCCCTCTGTGCCTTGAAAGATGTCCGACAAGAGCTTGTTCACTTGCCTCAGAGCTGGGAAATGAAGCAAGAAAAAATTACTAGCACTTTAATCATATATAGTAAGTTATCTATGGCTGAGATCACTTAAACATTCTTCACCCTTTTATTCTTCTGTTTAATTGTTGTTGTTTCACATGGTGAATAAAGCAATGTTAATAACAAAATAAATATCCCAAAACATGATGAGATTGTTAAATGAAACACAGAGCACAAAATACTAGTAATAATTAGCTAAAAACTTCTCAAAAGTGAAATGTGAAAGTTCAAACCCAATCATCTAGAAAACAAAGACCACGAACGAACAGATAAAAAAAAGTTACCTCTTCCCTAACAAAGGGTCCCAATCAAGAATCATTTTAATAAAAATTTTCTCCCAAAAGATGAAGATACTCTTTTCCTTCCTCATTCTTACCCTCTAACAAAATACAGCAGGACCCAAATGTAACCAGTAACCTAATACCAGGAAATAAAAAAGTTTCCCACCCTTTAACCACATTCTTCTATAAATCATCCGGTTGTAACCCCGCACAGAACAATTAGCCAGACTTATAATTCAAAAACTGAACAAACAAATGAACAAAACACCACAAACATGCAAACAGCATATTTTGCTCTAAACTATAACCCTCCAATTTTCACTCACTCTCACTCCAAATTCCTGACGGCCCAAACAATACCTTTAACACATCAGACAAAATGCAAATCATGCCTGTAGCCTACTCAAAGGCAATGCAAAGATCAGGCACAACAAATTATCATCCGTTTTATCCACAACTTATTCCAGCTCAATACAAACAAAGAAGATAGAAACAATTTACGAGGAAATAAATTTCAATATTCTAGCCACATGTTCGATTTCAACCAAGCGTTCATCGAACACAGTTACAATAAGTAATCTAGAATTCACAAATCATGGACACATTATCACTAAATCAAATCATGAAAACTTCTAGCCTCAAATTAAACAAGCCCAACAGCCTAAAAACCACTTTTACAGACCAAATGAAATACCAAATTCCCTCCAGGTCCCCATTGATCCACTCCAAACAACCAGGTAATTCTATACACATAGACTTAAAAAATTATAGAAAGCCCACATCAGACGTGTTAATGCGCATTAGATAACAGCATAGCATAATCCCAAAAAGCTAGAAAGCAGTCACCATTTACATAAACATCATACACTTAAAACCCACAATATATCCAACTGACTTACAGATTAAGAAAATGTCTTATTAATTTCCAATTCAACCGAAAATTAAATTGAATTACATAATCAAACGATTTGCACATTATAGATAGATTATGAGAAAATCCAATTTACCGGATCAGGGTTAAGGGATTCCAGAGATCGATGTTGCCATCAACGAGACCACCAGCAATGAGCCCGAGTGAAAATTCATCGGAACCGGATCCGTTCTTGCCCCACGCGAGGCGGTTAAATCGCTCTGAGCTGGGGCACTCGCCTACCACGGGAAGCTCACGATCGTCATTCTGGAAATCAAACTTGAAGATCTCGAGATTCGCCGATGAACTGAAGGATAGATCCACCGCCCCAGCCATCGTCCCCGCCGCCATGTACGGCGCATCCGGCGCCAGTGCCACTGACGCCGATCTATTCACCCCTTTAATACACGGCATTTGATTAAACGCAAAATTTACGGCTCCTTATCCCCCCCAAATCCCTACCAATTTATCTGCCGATACAGTGAGAAACAAACAAAGATCGATAACAATTGTCAGCTCATATGTGAATTGATAGGGAAAGAACCCCAAATAGATCCGATTTGGATTAAAATTGTGAGAATTTAGAGAATTAGGGTTTGATCTGATTTTCGGAATTCAGAAAGAGAAGAGAGAAAGAGAGAGAAAGGAGAGCGACGAGGCAAAGACGGGAAGATTTTATGTGCGAAACACTATGGAGTGGGCCTTTTTTTTTTTTTTTTCTTTTGGTGATTTTCAGATTGTTGTTTTTCCCTTTTCTTTTTTTTTTAGCGGTCCAATTTGTTTTCCTCGCTCTTTTTGCCGATAGATGGAGGAGAGTGGTAAACTGGTAATTTTATTATTTGCCATATTTTTTAAAAATGAATATTATTGGTGTTTTGGGCTGAGGAGTAGGCCCAAAAACAATCATGTTGAGAGTCCAAGTCACAAATCCAGTAAGACAAAAGTAAAATTAAGGGGGGCATTCTTTTATCTAACTATACTCGTTTATAAAAAGTTTTAGACACTTTCTACCATTCTTTTTTACTCTTACATTTCTGTTTTCCGAAAATTTCTAACGTAAAAATTATAAGTTATTATAATTAAAAAAATATGAACCATACATCTATAACTTTTTATTTTTTAAATTGAACAAAAATTTTAAAAAATGTTAAATTTTTATCCTATTTCTTCACTCTTTTTTCTTTTTTACGTTATTTACTCTTATTTCTATTAATAATTTTTTTGAAAAATACAAATTTAAATAACTTAAAATTTATTAATGCAGCATCGCAGGTTTTTTTTTTTTTCTAGTTTTCCTTTTTTTCATTTATCACTTTTTTTTAAAAATTATATAACTATAGATTATGCTCCATGTAAAGATTTCTACGGTCGGTCCATATATATGCGCCGTAGCTTAGGGTATGCTATTTTAGGCGGCGCAAGGAGCAAATTTATCGCAAATAATTCAATAGCAAGTACCAACTATATAAAGAAAAGAAACTGCTGCAAATTACAATAAGTGACCCAAGCCTAATTACTAATTTACATTTCAATCCCTACTAATTGGAATTTTCATCATTATCATCAACATTTTCCAAGATTTTGGCCATCAAATGGGAGCTTGATGTTGCCCATTGAGCCAGCAGGAACAAGCTTAAGATTCTCACAATTGCATATTTCAACCATGAATCCATCCTGGTCGTTGAAAAAGAGCTGGTCGATCTTAGTCCCACTTTCATCCTTCATCGTTCTCTTGATGTACTTGGTATTGAACTCTTTCAACCTTTGCTCCATTTCTTCCGTGTCTTCACACTGCATGCCGTGGGTTGTAAACACAAAGTAAAAATTCAAGGACAAAAAAAAGTACCAGCATAATTATTGACATTGAAAGACTAGCTACTAAACCTGGAAAGAAATATGGTTATCCATGGGATCCAAATGGTCGGTGTCAGAAGGCAACCTGTCTTCATCCTTGGACTGCACCAAGTGAATCCCTAGTCCCCTACCCCATAATTGAATAACCATGCACCATCGAAATCTAAAGCTGGAGGTCTTTCAACTAACACAAACCCAAGAGCCTTGGTATAGAAATCAATGGAGTGCTTAACGTTCCTACATAGCCCGGACACATGATTCAGTGCCATAAGAGGAGGTGGGCTCTCTTCTTTTCTTTCTTCCATTCTCTGTTGTCAATCAGCACAAAACTCTGTTGCTCTCTACCTTTTTCTTTCCGTTGTCAGATGCGTTTGCCAAATCGCTATGCGAAGAGAGAGACTTCCAAGTTGAATGGCCTATAAGTGGCGCGTGGCAAAGGTTCGCTACACGAGACAACACGTGGTGAGAGAATGCAAGAGAAGAATTGCTGAATGAATCTGTACGTGTGAGTCGCTGTTGGTGACGCCTGCGCTATGTGTGGCGACAATGTAAAAATTTCTGAAGGCCAACAGTAACGGGAGAGTGGACTTGTTAGCGGTGCGGTGTCAGGCGGCAGCTCCTATTAAAGAACAAGAAGGAAACAAACTAGTTGTAGTAACATTTTACCGTTTATAGAACGAGCTTTGGCCCAACGGGCTTTATGTTTTTCTTTTTCCCGGTCGCAACGGACTTTACGTTTGAAATTGTGAAACTTAAAACTAAAACGTTAGCAAATGGTATGCTATGAACATTTTTCATATTTGCATTATATACTATACCATGATTTTAACCCAATACCTCATATATATCAACATATTGCAATGCTTTATGATGCAATGAATTTAAAATTAATTGAGAATTAATAAGATAAATAAAAATTTTTTTGATCACATAATTTTTTTGCTGTAAGAAATGTTTGCTCATCAAGTTTGAATCCTCACCCTGCCTGCCTTCTTGCGTCAAAAAATAGAAAACCCCCAATAAATGGATCATGTATAATAATAGTATCTCAATAAGTTTATCTTGTTATGAGAAAAATCCTGATCATGGGCGGATTTAGAGTTTGACAATACTATAAAAAGGAAGGATTTGGATTTTAGAACGAAAAGAAAAGAAAAGAAAAGAAAAGGCGACTGCACTGCAATTCACGGTCAAAACTGTAACTGAAGTTAGTTGAATGTACATCCAAGTATCCAAGGATGGTTTGATCTTGTCTGTACACCAAACTAGATCATGCTTCGGACATAAGCCCCCTTTCACGCAAAATCAAACCACTCCTTGTCCCCTTGATCCCACCACCAACCCTCACAAACACTTCCACCCAACCCAATAGCCTTACCTCTTCTCGCTTCCCATCCCGTTTGCCTCATCAAACGCCCCTTCCAAAAAATACCCTGTTCTGAAAACCAACAGAAAAAGAAAAAAAAATTATAAAAGGAGGGGGAAGAAGATGCACCGGGATGTTTCAAGCTGCAACACCTACAACTATGGCGATGCCTTGCATTGGGACTCCCGTTGTTTTCAGGAAGCTGGAGGTGCCTTTGATTGGTACCAGCGTTACTCTTCCCTTCGCCCTTTTGTTCGTAACTACGTCCCTACTTCCTCTCGTGTCCTCATGGTCGGCTGTGGAAATGCCCGTAATTTCTCCCTACTCGCTGTTTGGTTTTCTAAAACCTTTTTATTAATATAATTTTTTTCTTTTATTTGTTTATATTTCGTTTTGCTTAGTGTTTATGATTGAATGAAGTTCATATCTTCTGTTTGCTGAGGAAGTGCGGGTAAGGATAAAAGGCGTAAGGGTTTGGGAGTTCAAATCTAGGGTTTCTGTGTCTCTTTACTCTGTTTGCTTGCTGACCAATGTGGAAAAGTTGAAAAAGGAAATTAAGTTTCATGAAATGTTAATTGTCTAGCGATGAGAACGTTAATGGTCGTACTTCTAATCTGGGCTTTTATCTTTGCCTTTGGTTACTCTGTTTGCTACCTGACAATGGTTTGTTGCTATTAGTAAAGGTTTCAAACATTATTAATACTAGGTAAAGAAGGTTTTTTCCTATGTTTTCTTCGTTCTATCTGTTAAGGGACATAAGTTTAAGAAAATGCTTTTTCTCTGTAGTTATGTCGGAGGACATGGTCAAGGATGGATATGAAGACATTATGAACATTGACATTTCCTCAGTGGCTATTGACATGATGAGAAGAAAATATGAGTATATTCCTCAGCTGAAATGTATCCTTTTAATATAGCATTATCTTTTCCTTTTATCCCCTTCAAGTAGCTATAACTATTTTTGTGGTTTCCTTGATGAACCTAAATAGACATGCAAATGGATGTTAGGGATATAAGTTTATTCCCAGATGAATCTTTCGATAGTGTCATGATAAAGTTATGGCTCCGCCAATCTTTCCAATACTTTATCACAACTCGCTGACTTCCTGCTTCAAATGTCGATGGAACGTTTTTGTTGTGCTGAATATGTACTAATGGGCTGCTGAAATTCGATTTAGGAACTCTTGATTCATTGATGGTATGATGTGTATTCAAATGCTTTCATTGTTTCTTCTGTTCATTTGTTCATTTTATAAAAATCTAAAGATTTCTTCTCTTTTTTTTTTTGTTGTATTTCTACTGTGGCACAGATGCTCCTATCAGTGCTTCTCGGATGCTGGGTGAAGTGAGCAGGTTGTAAACTTAGTGTATATCTTATTTTATAATTGGGATTCATTATTATAGATTTATTTCTTGAACCTGTTCTTTGATTACAATCAAGAGTTAGTATTTGATACACTGTTAATGTTAACTTTTATTTCCACAAGTGGTGTTAAGAGATTGACGCATATCCCATTTCTATTTTTCATTAATTTTTTTTTTAAATATACCTTAAAAAGTATGTGTCACCCTTTTAACTCCACATGTAGAGTCTAAACACTCTTATGTATTTGATAATTTCTCTTACAATCACTAGAGACATTGTCTTGTCAACGGGAGTTACCACAATTGTACAAGCTTTCAACGCCAAAATTGCTAGCTGAATGCGTTTTGTTTTCTTCTTGGTAGGCTTCTCAAACCTGGAGAGATCTATATGTTAACCATTTAGCCAAATCTGAAAACTCTGTTTTTGCAATGTTCCCTTTTTCACTCTAAAACTTCAAAATGCATGATGTGTCTTTAAAATTTCCATTACCAGATAACATATGGTGATCCATCAGTGAGGATGCCTCATTTGAGCTGTCCAGCATATAATTGGACTATTGTGTTGTACAACCTACTTAAGTTCTATTTCAGCTCATTTTTCTGTTTAAGCATTTTTTATTTTTTTGCATCATTTGGTTGTGTGAAAAGTTATACATGCTTTCCGATTACTAATTTGTCTTGTTCAGTGATCTGGACTGACTGCTTGTAGTTGTGCTTAGTCACAAATGTTAATTAGGTTTTCTTCTTTACAGACTGCTTTAATTGCACAATTTTGCCTGATTGGGTTCTTCTTTCTGCTTTCATTGAATTTTCTGTTAACAGCCCAAGAGCTCATTTTGTACTCTCTTTACCTTATCTCTCCACCCTGTCCTTTGGGTGGAATTTTGCGTGGCTATCCTGATCTGGAGGAAATGCAGATCAGGGGACGTTCCTTGTTTTGTAACTTGATGATGCTATATTACACTTCCCATGAATGGTATCTGTTGTCTCTAACACTCGCAAGTGAGAGATCCTCCCTATAAGTTATGTAAATAAGATGACCACATAAAAGGCGTAAAAGGCCTTTTATTTCTAGGGCAAATTTTATCGTCCAAATCTTTGTAAAGATGTTCTCTCTAGAACCCAATGCTGTCCTAACCCTGTGGGTGGCAAACTCAGTGGAACTTTCCCTCAAGTTGATTCAAGACTTGGTGGTAGCTGAGGAGTGAATAGATGCAATGAGAGGATTGTTGTTAAGGAGAACCATCTGTCGTATCATCTGCATTTATGGTTTTTGGCTTAATGGATCGACCTGCTTGAATCCTGTTTTCAATCTTAACAAGCGAGACAGGACTAGTTAGGGTTTTGATGCGCTAAAAGCAATGCCTTTGTTGAACTATTTTATCTTGTATGCCCATTTATTTAACTGCTGTCTGAAAACTGAGTTTCAGAAGGTTGTAGATGCTGCACCTTTACTTGGCCATTATCTTCTTTGCGCACACACATTTTTTCCCTAATTTTGCATGTCCATTGCTTACTGGAAAGAAGGATAAACTCTGTTTTTAACGCATGTTTTAGTTCGTTTGCAGCCAGACCAGGTTCTAAGAGGCCTAGAGGTTGTTCTTCGACAAAAGTCATATTTGGAGCCCATTCCTGTCACTGAAAAGGGCTAAGTAACATTCCCACCTATCAGTGACAGGAATGGGCTCCAAATATGACTTTGTCGAAGAACAACATCCAGGCCTCTTCTACTTCTGCTTCTACTTCTAGTGACTTGGCTCTGTGTCATCCATCATTCTCATTTTATATATTTATGCAGAAAGAAGAATGACACGGAGCTAAGTAACATACCCCCACCTATCCATTAACATCTGGAATTTTATTGTGAACGACCTTCAAAATTGCATTAATGTTTTTAAGCTTTTGTATAATTATTATCAGCACTCCCACCAACTAGGACAGATCACCGGCCATGTTGTTGCTTGTATTTTGCAAAAAAAAAAAAAAAAAATGGAATGAATTCTACTTTTGTGGTGTGACATATTAGGTCAAGTGTTGAGCACTAAAAATGATAAACCAAGGGAAAGATGACCTTTGGAGGCATGCTAGTGACTGGAGACTTGAAAGTATGGCTGGCATGTTTTGTTTACTTTATTTGAAGAAAACCATAAACTGCTGTCTGCATTGATCTCAACACTCCATAAGCTTACACCTGTCATATAATTATTATGTTTGTGGTTCTTTGTCTGAGTTTTTTAGTAATCACTCTTCTTCAAGAAAAGGATTCATCACTCCTCGAACCATCTTCAACAGCCAAGAAGAAGCAAAGACATGAATCAATGAAGAGATAAATGGCTGACTCTATGGGTTAAGCTAAAATTCTTTTCATATTTGATCTGCAAGCAATTCATCTTATAAATTATAAGCTGGTGTTCTAATTTTGTATTAGTATTACAAATTTAGCAATAGAACTTTGCCAATATATATTTAAAAAAAAAAAGTAGAAACTTCATACAGATTCTTCTCCGTATTTGATAGTATTACAAGTTTTACCAAATTGCCGGTATCTATCGCTAAAATTACCAAGTATGCGAAAAGATTTCGAAATCCGAAGGTGCATTTATAGTAAATGCTCCAGTGAACGCCAGAGGAAAACAAAAAAATCTCAATCCCCCACCCCCCTCCAAATCTCTAAATTTAGTAACTCCCTTACCAAAATGGAGCTATTAAAAAGTACTAAATCTAGCATGATAGAAAAAGGGAATGAGGAAAAAATCCAAAATTAGCAAGGCATCAGCAGATATAGCAACCAAGAGCTACCAAATCTCGCAAATTAACCATTTAAAAAAAGGGGGAAATGCCTAAAAGTTGGTCCAAAATGTTGAGCAATCAATCCTCTTGCCATTTCCATCCATCTCTCTCTATTAGACTCTAGTCAAAAAGAAAAAGACTCATCTCAGATGGACCCCTCAAACACCCTCAAAGTTGAAGCTGAAGAGCAAAGAGGGTTAAAAACATCCAGCATTTCATCTCCAAATTTGGCTAACTGCAAAAATACTTTTAAGAAGAAAAAAAAAGCTACAGTGAATTACATGTAAAAAGAAAAATGAGGTCAATTCATGAAACTCCCCAAGTGGGACCCACCGAGTTTAAGGAAAAAAACAAAAAGTGGGGCCCAGATATAGACCCCACCAGCACCTAAACTGTCCAAATGTGGCATAGGAATCATGCAAAGCACACTTTAAATAGAATGCAGAGCCATGCAAACTTGCCGTTTCCAGTCTTAAAACGCCTCCCTTTTTTATCTTCCCAATCTCTAATTTTAGCAATCTTTTCTTTTTCCCAGTCTTTTCCAAATTAAGCTCTTTCCTCTTTATAAACAAAGCAAAATTTATAATCAACGGAAAAAGTTGTTAGTCTTTAATTTGTTCTAAAGATTGAATCCTGAAAGAACCATATTCTTGTCTTTCTGGGGTTCAAAGAAGAGCAGAGAAAAATGGGTAGGGGGAAAATAGAGATAAAGAGAATAGAGAATGCTAATAGCAGGCAAGTCACATTCTCCAAGAGGCGTGCTGGTTTGCTCAAGAAGGCTAAGGAACTCGCCATTCTCTGTGATGCTGAGGTTGCCGTCATCATTTTCTCCAATACTGGCAAGCTCTTTGAGTTTTCCAGCTCTGGGTATGCAATGGACAACTTTTTATTTTCCAAAAAAAAATTATTTTTTTGAATTCTTTTTATAATTGCATGAGCATTTTTTTTGGTTCATTATATCTTAGAATTTACTATTTATCCTCCTTGAACTTAACTGGCCTTTTCTTTTTAATCAAAGAGGCTAAGGGCAATATTCATTGTTTAGGATATTTTTGTTTGTTTTGGATGATTCGAATGATGTTTACCAGGGTCATCCATTATGAACTTTAGTGGGATTAGATGGGTTTTGGAAATTTTTGTTTGCATGTTCGTTTGGATTGTATCTGCTGATAGTTTTGACTTTCTGGTCTTTTCTGTCATTTTGTTATGAACTGACTTCCCCTTATTCAAATTTACTTATTATTGTTATTATTATTATTAAGAAAAAAGCCAATTTTGCTCCATTTATATTTTATATTGAGTTCAGTAAAAACATTTTAGTAATAGAAAAAATATGACGAATAAATAACTTTTTTGGAATTGTCTGTTGCCTTTTGTTTCTTGATTGTTGCATGTGGTTTTTTGGATTGTACCTGTTCATGTAAATTGAAATTTTCATTATTGGGAACTTTTTTTAGCCAAAAAATTTTCTGCTGATAACATATTACATTATTACCATAAGATTTTGTTTGAGTTTGCAAGGACTGAATTGTTTTCAAATCCTCAATATTTGTTTGCTTGCTTTTATTATACCTACATCAAGTGAAAAGCTATATTCCTTTCATATCCCAAGTCAGGTTCTCATTAAAATTTCAAGGGGAACTTGGTATCAATAGATGTCGAAATGATTGATTTTTTTTTTTGTTGAATGTTACTAGCTTGGAAGTATTAGCCTCTGAAGTTTTTCCAAGGGACATGTTAATCTACATCAGTGACTATATGTTAACCCAGGGATCATAGATTAGTGACATAGTGGAGGCACTCCTGCTATAGGAGATGAGAGGTGCTCTGTTTTCTTAAGGATAGTTTATTTCTGTGTGTTTATTACGTTCAAGTCTAAGTTTATGAAATGGGAGTTTAAGGTAGAAACAGCTCTAGATTGTATAAAATGGAAGCAATTGTAGGAAATGGGTGGTAAACTAAAGGGAATAAAGTACAGGGATGCCAAACACATATATAATGCAAAGATTTGCTGCGAGAAAATTTTATTTGGGAGGAAACCAGAAATATTGGAATGTATGCTTATATGTGATTGATTGATAGATAGATTGATAGATCATTCAGGTTGCTCATTATTACTGCATGCTGTAATATTGAAATGGACTGAATGTTCTAACAGAAAAAATGTGTGCCTAATGTCTTTGAAGAACAAGATATTGACTTATTCATTTGTTCATTTGTGCAGCATGAAGAAAACACTTGCCAGATACAACAAGTGTTCTCAAGGTTCTTCTGAGATTGCTCAAGTGGAACATAAAGTAGAGGTAATCTGCAATTTATGTTTACATATGCAAATCTGTCTTTGTCTTGAAGCAACATATTGCAATTTCTTGATCTTTATGTTGGCTTTATGTTGTATCTCAAGATGATATTTGGAACCTAATTTACATTTTAGTGTACATGGCACGTGGTTACTATCAGTTGAAACAAAAGTTTAATTGTTGGTATAATGTGTTATTCCTTGACAAAATTTTTTTTTCCAAATATGTTTCTATTTCTTTTTTTCTTTTTTTCCTTACAATGGTTGTATGTTGAAAGTATACATATAGATGATTTAAAGTATACACTTGTTTTCAGAAAGACTCTAAGGAGGTAGATAATCTGAAGGACGTAATCGCAAAGCTACAAATTAAACAGTTGTATGTCATCTTAATTGTCTGTTATGGTTTAAGTATTACATTTTTTTCCAATACAGAGATATTGCTTTTGCTTAAGCTGATTATTGTTCTGATTTTATAGACAGCTATTGGGTAAGAACTTGACCAACATGAGCTTGAAAGAGCTTCAGCTTTTGGAGCAACAGCTTGACGAAGGGCTGTTATCAGTGAAGGAGAAAAAGGTTATTTGATATTTTTTCCAAGTTCATCAGATCTATTAGGTTAATTAGGTTCTTGTTTCTAGAAACAATTTGTTAACTTAAGCGGCCTTAATGAATCATACCATTTCAGGAACAATTGCTTATGGAACAACTACAGCAATCAAGAGTTCAGGTATGTTGGATCCCCACCTGCATGTCTTTGTTTTGTCTAAAAACTGAGTTCTTGAACAAAGAAGATGGATGTTGCAGTTCTCACCAATAATAAGATCATTTTGAAAAGAAAATAGGGATCTTGATCAGGAGACACACTAGAATTATACTTGGTTACACTTACATGGTGGTGGTGAGGTCTCAGAGAACTTGCAACACGTTGGTTATAAACACTTGAAGACAAGTTACTCTAAAGTGAGAATAATAATGATAGTAGTATGATAATGATGGGAACTGAAAGGATGGGAGGCAAGTGGGGAATGGAAAGTTTATGGAAAGCCATTTTATATGTGAAATATCACACCTTGAGAATCAGTAAAAGTTACAGCTTCCCACGCATCTTTCCTGTTGTGTATCTCTGTCAATAAAGTGGATTAATATCTGTTCACATGATCTAAAAGACAATAAAAAATAAAAAATAAAAAACCTTTAAGATAATTAATTCATATGAATTTCTGTTTCCAGGAGCAGCGGGCTATCCTTGAGAATGAAACTTTACGCAGACAGGCTAGTTACATTTTTCTTGATGAAACTGAATATCATTCATTATGTTTCGTGTCAAACATACCGTATTTTATTTTTGTCTACTAACGCAGGTTGAGGAGCTACGAAGTCTTTTTCCATCAACTGATCGCCGAGTCCAATCCTATCTTGAATGCTATCCTGTTGAAAGGAAGAATTCTCTCATGAGCCATAGCATTCCCAGTCCAGATGTGACCTGTAATTGCACTGTTGAAAAGGGAGATTCAGACACTACCTTGTATTTGGGGTATGTCTTTTCTTATACTTGGGTAATTTGCTCTGGAAATGCCCCACCTTGACAAAATTTTCTGATATTTAATCATTTGTTTTTAGCAAGGATTGATCAAGGTTGCCTTCGGTTTTGCACTTTGGTTTTTAGCAACTACCCTTGTAAAAGGCAGATTTCTGATAACTGAGGCACTGCTTCATTTGTGTCTTATTAAGTTATTTCCATTTGTTGGCTTATCTCCTGCTGGGATCCGTAATAATGATTTACCATCATGAAAGAATTGACCAAGGATTTACTCTGGCTGTCATCATTGTAATTTTACCCTTAATTTTCGAGGCCTGCAACCAGCATAAAAGTAGTAGAACTCTAATAATAAAGTCAATGCTTCAATGAACTCTACGTCTCTGGATAATAGTATAACTCAGTTCTTATTGTTGGCTTAGTGTCTCAAGATGGTTTGAAATCATTTGCCCTTCTCATGCTATTGTAGTCAATCTTTTACTATTTTCTGAGGTCTCACATATACTTTCTGTATCTTTGGTTATCAGGTTGCCAAATGATTATCACAAGAGAAAGAAAGCTGAAAGAGAAACCCATTCCAACGACTCAGAGAGCCAATTGGGGCTGATGTGACCCTTTCTTTCATGGTGTTTGCTTTGCCTTTAATGGGGATGACGGAACTGAGACATGGTCCAGTTGAGTCTAGTTTGGTAGTTTATTAAAGCAACAGTTGTCCACATCAAAGAAGTCAACAAGGTGAAGGTATAGATGTTTCTTTTCAGGAGGAAGACTAAGTTTTCATCAGGTTATGGATAGAGTTTAGTCGTAACCGTTATTGGAAAAAGGATGAGGCTATTGCGAAAAAAAAAAAAGAAAAAGGCTTTCCTTTATCTATTATTTTTCTCTTTTTTGTATTACAATGGTTCTAGTTTTGCTTTCCACCGCAACTTTCTTTACCAATGGAATTAGTGAGGTTGCACTTAATGTTTCAATTGGTGACCGAGAAAATTTTGTTTTTTTGGCCTCCTTTTCCTTTCTGCTATTTACAGGGTTCTTAACTTTCTGCAACTTTTGCAAGTAAAAGTTATGTGATACTTGATTGGGTTTCGAGAGTACTCATTGCAAGAAAGCGATTCATTCGCTGGTCCAAAATCGAGAAACCTAGATTCTATCCTCTATTCTAACAGGAAAGAAGTTTACTGATTGAGCAAGAAAGATAGATGTCACTCTGCATGTTAACCATGGAACAATAAAAAAATATTTTTGTTTGTTTGAATATAAGAAGTTGAAACTGATATGTGATGCAATTCAATTTCCATCGTTAATATGGAAGATACGATGCTGTTATCAATTATCATAAAAGAAGTGTTACAAATGTTGATCTAAGCAACATAAATAAAAAGTTTTGAATGTGTTTTTTCCTTTTTACATAAGAAATAGTGGAGTTGATGCTATTGCTTGCGTTGTCGAACACCAAGAAGTAGTTCATTTCTGCCAGCCAATACTTTCGAGAACAAATTATCCACCTGCTTTTCTAAAGCTTCCAGCTGATTCTCGAAAACACCCAATCTTCTCTCCAAATCCTTGGCTGCATCACTGTTTTTCCCAGAGACTATGGCTGATGCTAAGGAAGCTGCTGCATTGTTCAGCTCCTTAACCTCTTTCAATACCTCACCTTTCTCCACTATAACCTCAGAAATATATGAATCTACACCAATTAACAAAGCACTATTGAACCTGGCAATCAATTGTTTGATTTCCAAGTATGGTTTAGCCTCTCCAGACAAGGCAGCCAAAACAACGCCACATACCCAAAAGCCAATATTCTTTACTTCCATCAAAGCTTGATTGACTACCCTTTCCTTGCAGGAGCTGAACTCGTCGCCATCTCCCTTGTTTTTCTGTCTTTTAAAGTCCTTGCTCGTACTTTGCGGCTGAATTGCTTTGAGATGTTTAATTGCCAAAGAAGGTGAATTATCCAGAAGGCCCAGAGCATGAGCAAACGAAAGTCGAGCATGCGCCAGATGAGAAAGAGAGGAACTAACAGAATTGAGAAGCTCCAGCAAATGCAAGTCGTAGTTGAGATACTCGTCAAGAGAGGCAACTTCCCAGCTGCTCATGGGGTAGTCTATATCCACAACTAGCTTTGCAAATGCCCTGTTGATAAGAGGTAGGAGCTCAAAACATCGTTGAATCCATAAGAAAGACAATATTTCTGATCCGGATATTGAATTCAACAACAACTGATTCAGGCAATTCGAAACATCAGACCGAAAAGCCTGAAGAGCAGCTGATAAAACATCTGCCTCCGATTGGTGGTGGTAGTAGTGATGGTGCTTCTCCGGCTTGGAGTATAATTTGCTAAGCTTTTCTATCAAAAGTACCATTGACAACCAAACAAAATATGAGGTTTTTTGTTGATAAGGCTTTTTCTTTGGCCAGATGTGGCGTTCAAATTTGCTTTTATACAAGGTAAGGAAAGTCAGAGGTTAGTGTTGCTTTAGCTGAACAGAAACAGTCAGAGTTGCAAATCAGCAGCGTGTGTGGTACAACTAGGATTCCCCATAGAAAATTCAAATCCAGGTGAGAAATTGGCTGTCGTCAAATGTGCTGATCATGTTTTTTAGTGTTTATTTTTATCGAACGCGGTTTTGTATACTTGGTCCACTTGCGCCGCCTTAATTTGCAAGCAATCTTGCCAATCCTTGGGCCTGAGCTGGAGGCTGGAAGGATGAAAGAAAGTGCTGTGCTCTACTTAATAGTTTTGCTCATATTTTATGTGGTTTTCAAGTTGCTTCCGACAGGCGCATTTTGGAATCTTCTCATACTCAGTCACTCATGAATTTATTATTTCATGATCATAGCTATGCTAGCAATTGGCTAAAAATTAAAGGGATGTTGGTGTTTATTATTAATATCCGCTGATCTAATCCTTATTTTTGTAAAAATGACACTCGGAAATTATTGATTTTTTATGGCTTTCTTGAGAATCTTGTTTGAAACAACGAAAGAATCCAGATTAAAGTAGTTGGAGAGGTGGTGGTTTACCAATCAACATTATGAACTGCGAAAACTTGAATAAAACACAAATCCGAGTTTGCTGTCAGTTCGTACACGTTGGCCACGGATTGAGCAGCCTAGTGGCCAATAGGGTCCAAGACCACAATTTATCACTTTCAAGGACTTCAAATTTCGGAAAATAATAGGTTTGGCAGCGTTGGAAAACCAGGAGGCCCGTAATGACCCATGTTCAAGCATCTGAACGAAGGCTTTTGAATAAGATTCAGACATAAAATTGCCCAACGACATAGTTTGGGCTGGTCGGCAAAGATAAAAGCAATCAGAGATGGGCTTAGGATGTCGTCTATCTTTCACTAAAAACCCATTTATGTATGGAATCTTATTTTGTCGAACGTTTTCTGATTATGACTGTTAGAAATCAATGGCCAGGGTCCAGGGCAGGAACTATGGTTGGAACATGTTTCATAGCTTGCTAAAGCAGCCTCGTAACAAAACAAAAGGGTTCGGACTTGGGACCGGATGGAGGATGGTTGCCTCAGACAGGACAGGGTAGAATTTTGGACAGTTTGAATATAACAAATATCCAATTCGGAAAGGAAATTTGAAATCTTATCATTTTGGACTATTCTAAATTGGATCTGATTAGATACAAAGTTCAATTATTTGAATGAAGTTTAGAATTATCGAAGCCTCTTTCTCAAGCGGCAATTAGCAAAGAAAGACTTGGAGTAGGGGGCGTGTTTAGTTGTAAAACTATGAGTTCCTAACGTAGAGATTAGGCTTCAGCCGCCCCTGGAATTGCATGCAGGCAGTCCCCTATGCTACTGTCGTACTGGCTACTCCCCAATTGTCAATTCTTCTGCATATATATAATGCTACCATAGTTAGAAAGGCCGTTCAAAAATCCACAATTCAACTTTGTTCTTCGTAATACCTTATTTGGAAAGAACTTTTTTCCCATAAAATGAACCGAAAGAAAGAGAATCAAAACAACCCATCTTGTGTTTTATTTTTTTCCTATTCTTTCAACTACCAAACCAATCTTCCCAAGGTATAGGGTCCCATCTCATGCATGGAATCCAATTACTATTATTGATATCAATGATTAATCCAATTCTGCATAAGCGACATCAATGATTTACATATTCACCCTGTGCTCCTTGTTGAAACTTGAAAAACCCTTCTCTTTTAAGGCAAGCTACATATATAAATTACATATATAAAACTAGAATTCATAGGTTAGTTCGACAACCAATCGGCAACAACAAGAATGAAGACTGAAGATTAAGACATTAGCGAGCTATTATATATGTTTTATTCGTAGTTCTTCCTTCATTTAGTTTCTAATTCTCTTGAAGCACTGTCTGTAACCTTCTGGTTTCTGTTTTTTGATACAGCTATTCTTTTTGTTCTTTCTCATTACAACTAATTCACTTACTTCCTTTGAATAAAAATTTTCAATTATTAAAAGTAATGCGGTGCATTTTAATGCAGATAAGACCAAAACTTTCAAATCATAATGAAGTTGCAATTTTTACCTAATACTAACTGGTTTCATTGGAAATATTTCCTCTAATTCAGGTCCTATTACGGTAAAAAAAAAAAAAAAAAGGTTCCTCCCTCCTTTCAGGTATAGACGATAAACACTGATCATCTTAGTTTCTCAAAGTCAATTTAGTTCTTAGTTTCTGGTTATAATTTGAAAAAAAAGTTCAGAGAATTTTCCATTTATTTTTGTGGTCACTTTCTATCTCAATTTTGGGTAAACGTTTTTGTTTCAATTATCTAAATGCATTTTCATATGATTTTTACCTTTGCATATTTATGATTTGATATAAAATTTCAATAGCAATAATTTCATAGAACGAGAATACAAGGACAATATCAAAATTATTATAGTACTATATAACATCTAATTTATATATGGTCGGCTTTGATTTACGTTTCGTCTCTTTTATATTTTTTTTCTACGTTAAATATTCTATTTCTTTTTATTGGATAAATTAATTAATAGAAAATATTAAGCTAAACTACAAAGTTCTCTTGAAAGCCAAGCCTGTATATATAGTTAAAATTATGATAAATTGAATCTTAATCATTGATATTAAAAATTCATTACTTTATCGACAAACTGTTGATATATACATAGAGTTTTCAGTTTTCTCCTCAAAGTGATGGTAAAAATAATGGGAATCAAACTATTATGAAATTAAAAACTTTCAATTATGTATTATCAAGCAAGGGTTTTAACTAGAATTAAGTACTTGTAGCAATAGGTTATTCTAGTAGGAATCGCTATTCAAATTAATCGTGAAGATTTAGTACTCTTCCATGTTCATTGAATGACCAAAATATCTTTAATTACCCTCACATGGCGTAACATGATTGGACGTTGCCTAAGAATCATGTCATTCTTAATTTAAACGAGATTGTTTCGTTGAAAAAAATGGAAAAGAAAATTTGACTCAAACCAAGCTTAGCTAGCTGCCTTGCTGTTTGCTGAAATCTTATTCATTTAAAACAATTATTCTTCACAATTTGAAGTAAAACAGCCCGCTTTTGGACCTAAAACTATCAGCCACAGCCTTCTCTTTCTGTCATTGTTTTTTTCCCACAGAAAGTAAGAGAAAACACAATGGAGAAAAACTCTTTTCTCCTTCTTGCTGTCTTCCTCATTTTAATTTCATGTATGGTAGCTCCAAATCATGGCAAGAAGCAAACGCTAGCTCTTGGCCATCTTTACAAGACCAAAATGAAGGGAAGTTCTGGCATTAATCAGAGTCCTTTCAAGGCAATTCACCACATAAACAAGAGCAGGGTTCATCCACAGGAGGGAATGAATGAGAAGGATAGAATTGAAAAGTTGCCTGGACAACCTCATGTCCAATTTTCACAGTATGGTGGCTGTGTAACAGTTGATAAATCAGCAGGTCGTGCGCTTTATTACTATTTCGTCGAAGCTCAGCATTTTAAGAAGTCTTTGCCTGTTCTTCTTTGGCTTAATGGAGGTACTTTGAATATTCTCCTTCACCATTGTACTAATTTTACTTTGTTAAGTGCCAAAAAACAAACTTCATGGATTCAAAACTTTATCCCTTCTCGAATTTCTTCTTTTTTTTTTGTGGTCATGATAGAGATATCCTACAAATCTCAGGAATCTTATCGGAACATTTTGATATCTCCATTATTGCTCAAGTAGTTACTTGGCAATTTCTCTGTCACTGTCTTTCCTATAATGAGGCCACAACTCTTATGCTGGAGCTAATTATTAATATGGTGCCACTATCAATCATGACATTACAAATATTTTTAGATATGTGAAATATAGTTCCAATTATAACAATAATCATTGTAAAATTTTAATTACAAGTTGTAATATGTAATAGATGCATAATGTATCTTCATCTTCTTGCCCTGTTAACCACCAAGTTTTGCCGGGATGGCAGCGTTTGAAATCCCACAATTCACTCCTGTGGAGGATTTCTCAGCATGCACGTTGTACCAATATTCAGTCTTTTAAAATAAAGAAATACTACTACCTAAGAAGCTTATTGTCTAGTGTGTGTATATATTATTACTATAGCCATTTTTTTTTATTATAATCATTCTGTTTTCTAGAACCCCCAAGTTGGTTGAATGAGTGATGTCAAATTCTACTATGATTAAATTTGTGGGTTTTACTGTTCTAGTTTCTCTTTTGTTCATTGACTCTAAATCACTTTCTAATGAAAATTGCTATCAGAAGTCAGAACTCTGGCATTTTATTAGTATAAAATAATAAAATAGTTTCAGTTTGACTTTATTCTTAGGGCACCTCTAACTGGTTTTGTTGTACTGTCACTGTGAAACTGTAATTTGATAGTATGAGTTTGCTTAATGTTGTGATCACTGATCAGGCCCAGGCTGTTCATCTCTAGCCTATGGAGCAATGGAAGAGCTTGGACCCTTTCGAGTTCATAGCAATGGAAAAACACTATACAAAAATAAATACTCATGGAACTATGGTACACTACCTGTTAATCAATGCAGTTTTTTCATTGTTTCAAGCTTAGCTCAAGCTTAGCTCCTTTTTTAAGTTGATTTTTTTATTTTAAATATTTCCAGCTGCAAATGTTTTGTTTCTGGAGTCTCCTGCTGGTGTAGGATTTTCGTACTCCAACACAACATCAGATTATGATGAGAGTGGTGATAGTAAAACAGCTGCTGATAATTATGTGTTCTTGTTAAATTGGTTGGAAAGGTTTCCTGAATACAAAAGCAGGGATTTTTATATATCTGGTGAAGGCTATGCGGGGCATTATGTCCCTCAACTTGCACATACCATTCACCAACACAACAATAAGGCTAACAAGACCCTTATCAATCTCGAAGGAATTATAGTATGGTTCTCTCTCTGTCTTCCTGTCTTTTTTCTTTCTATTTCAATCAGTAATTGAAGACTTAAGAGTCTGTGGCACATAATTGAACCTAGACTTGATGTCATTTTTGCCTTTTTTTTTTTTTCCAACATGAAGAAATGATTGAAGCTTAGAAATTAAACTATTATGAGGGTTAGCTTTTCTTTTCGCTTTTATTGTTCTGGCCTTATGTTCAACATAAAACTTGATTGCAGATTGGAAATGCTGTGATCAATAATGAAACTGATGTCAAAGGAATATATGATTACTTTGAGGGCCATGCTCTCATTTCAGATGAAATTGCGTACAGGATTCACAAATAATGTAATTTTGCATCCGAGAACAGCTCAGAGTCCGGTGAGTGCAATGGAGCCACTGATGACGCGGACAGGGGTGTTTACTACATCGATATTTACAATATCTATGCCCCCTTATGCAACGATTCCAGTCTCACAATCCAGCCCAAGAAGCCTTCTGTAAGTTGACTTAACACCCACACAACGATAACATTCTTTTTGTAGTCTCACGACGTTAGTCTTTCACGCAAGTATTGTTAATATGGGCCAAGTCCAAATTTTAAGGCCATTTCAAGTTTGGGATGCAATATGTCTTGGGGATTGGCCCAGTTCTTCTGTAACCTCTTTTGGGCTGGCAGTCCAGAATGCCTGCGGGATTAGTTCTTAAACAATTTCATTCGAAATTCTACTGAGATTAGCGTAGTGTTTGCTTTTTACCAGCTTTGCTAAATCTAGCTAACAGGTAGTAACTTTTGTGGCTTGTGGTTGGTGTAGGTGATGAATTTTGATCCATGCAGCGACTATTACGTATATGCTTATCTAAACAGGGCTGATGTTCAAGAGGCCATGCACGCTAATGTAACAAAACTGGACCATTATTGGGAAGCCTGCAGCGACATCATAAAAAAATGGGGAGATAGCCCTTCAACAATCATTCCCCTTCTACGGGAGTTAATGGCTGACGGAATCAGAGTGTGGATTTTTAGGTAATAAAAGCAATGCTGCCATCGATTTTAATACATATCATTATTGCCTTGTTTAGTTGATGAAATCATGGGAACAGAACAGTAGACCAAAAGGCCCAAAACTTTTCCTAGATTGTATTAACTAACCCTCGTGGCCTTAGACTAATGGTTGGACAATATAGCAGAAATTGACTCTTCACCGTCTCAAATTGTTGTATCAGATCTCGATACGACTGCTCAATAGACGTACCGGCTAAACCCTTTAAGATATTCAATAGAAGGCTGTTTGTAAATCTTACACGTCTTTGCTGCATATCACGCAGTGGTGATACAGATGGAAGGATACCAGTTACTTCAACCAAGTACTCCATTAATAAGATGAAACTTCCAGTTAAAACAAAGTGGCATCCTTGGTACCTTGATGGAGAGGTAAATTTTCTTTCTCTTCCGTTCCAATGCTTGCTCTCTAATGTCTCCCATCTTTCAATTCCAATCTTCTGATTGCCATAAATCAACTATAGTTCCTGTTAATGTGAACTTAATCCCTTTCATTTCTTTACAAAGTCCAGGAAATCGATTGACACATTCGCCTTTGGTACTATTTATATGGCAGGTTGGTGGTTATACTCAGGTATACACGGGAGATTTAACATTTGCTTCCGTAAGAGGGGCAGGGCACCAAGTGCCAAGCTTTCAACCAAAGAGGGCTCTTTCACTGATCCAGCACTTTCTTGCTGGCACTCCTCTTCCAGATACCTCAAAATATACCTGATTTTCTCTTGACATTTTAGGGTCTTTCATTGTTTCATCAAGAATTTTAATTAGCGTTCTGGAAAGTTGTTTATTATATCACGGATGCTATTTTGTCTGCAAAGTAACGGAAACCGGAAAAAAAAATACAAATGGTCATTCTAAAAATTATTATTCAATGAAAATTTTTGGTTTAATCAATCAAATTGCATAACTAGGTTACAGAACAATTAATTTAATTAAATGGAACTTATTAAATTGGTTGCATCAACTGTAATGTAAGTTAAGTGCCGTAAGAGATTTTAGAGTTGGGATCTCCGCAGTTAAAATAGAATATATATGTGTGAGCAGGAAACCAATCTAGGGAAAGAACACAAATTTTGGACATGATTCAAATTGCAGTTTCTTCAGAGATGTGATGTGTAGCCATGCATCTGAAACAAGGACACAAGGTTTCTCCGGATTACTACGTTAAACAAATCCCAATGTACACATAAGGATGTCAATCCAATGCATTTGTAAATAACAAGAATTTTAAATATTTTTGGAAACTGTACAATTCATTCCCTTAGACACATTAGCTCCCGTATACTACTGGTTCTGGATATTATTAGAGATCATAGGCCAACAATGCTTCCAAAGATCTCTTTTTTGCAGTCTTCAATGATTGATACAGAAGGAGATGGGAAAGCCACAAATGAACCTTTTTGTTAGGATAAAAAAAACCCTAATCTAATTAAACCAACGAAATGATAAATTAATTACACAAAAGATAATAATTTAATGTGTTTCAGTTTAATCAACTTACGTCCATCAATAAAAAAAAATCATTAATTGTAAAGAATTACAAACATGCAAATCACATTAACAACAATCACAATCAATACCTATAAAGTCTTTTATTTTAATCTAATCCTATAAATTATTCTTAACCCAAACACACACATATTCATGTGCGCCTATACATCATACCTATGTAAACCATCTCATTCTCCTCTAGTCCATTCAAAAGATGTCAATCTCTTGGAGTCCTATGATGTGTTTACCCAATAAAACTTAATAACTCTCTTATATCTTTATTTTATACCCAATCTTATGGAAACTTCATCTATTTATAAGTATACTAACTTGCTTATCAAGAATCTTTTTACTCTTAGAATTTTTCTCTTGCACGTCTTCTTATTCATAAAGTAATATCTAATTAATTTCAAATAAATCTTTTATGTGATTTGAATCACTATTTCCAACATTTTTAACCTTGGAAAATGATGATTGGCAAGCTTCGCAAGGAAAGTAGATGGCTGGCTATCTTTCCATTTAGCTTTACATTAACAACATGGTTATTTGTAAAACCAATTAAGTATAAGCTAAAATAAATTCATAATACAATTGATTGAGATAGAAACATCAATTGTGAACCTTTCAACAATAAGCTTATTTGTTACCGAGGGTCTTTTTTCCATCAAAATTTAATGTGAAATTGCAAAAATAAAATATCATAATTGACAAGTAAAAGAACATACTTACATTAATTGACTACAGTTATTGCTGAAAAATTTCATTTTGTAATATCAGTAAAAAAAAAACAGGACTATTTTAAGTATTTTTATATATGGGAGGACTCTTTAATAAAGATTGAGAAATCCAAAGGCCTATTGATAAATAATCCAAGTTTTTTTATTAATAGGGTTAACTTATTCAATTTTCAACGATTAATCAAAAGAAAAATACAAACTTATTTCTCTTCTGTTTTTATATAGAAAAGATAAATTGAAGGATTCCAAGTGAAGAGAAAGAACAAATCTATAAGGAGAATTGTCTGTCAGATGTGAATAAATAATTTTTTTCAATTTTAAAGTATTTATTGTTAAGTCTTGAGGTATAAATTGTAATCGAGAAACCCTAAAATTTTAGGATTTCTATTATTCCTCTTTGGACAGATAATTTAGGCTTTAATTAGGGTCAAATTAAGTGTTAAGAAAGTTGGTAATGTGATTTTATTGCTGAAACAGAAATTTGATGGGAATAAAAAAAAAATTTTGTTTCGTATGAATCCTGATATGAACCCTATGTTTGCAGTGATGAATTAAGGTTATATTCTGCATTAAAAGATTAAATATTGCTATGATTATTATATATCATTGGAAAGCATGTTAAATTTACTTTCTAATGAAATAAACAAGAGTCCAATTCAAGTTTTTCATGAAGAGTTATCTAATTTTTATCTAAGGATGTGCAGGCTACCTAGTAGCAGCAGTAAGGAAGAATTACAAAATTCTTCTTAATTTTTATACAAGGATTTATAAATTAAGCCATATATGCTTGGAAAGATTATTGAATCTACTTTTCAATGAAACAAGCGAAATTGAATTTGGAATTTCTTATGAATAAATACATAATTTTTATAAGAAGTATATATGTTGTCTGGCAGCAGCATATGACATGGATTGCAAAAATTGTTATAATTAATCCATAAGGAAACATGAGATGAGCCATATATGATTAGAAAGTTTTTTGAGTTTAGTTTCTAACGCATTAAAAAAATTTTAATTCTGAATTGGATATTTTAATATATGATCATTTTCGTGAAAGTAGCACAGGCTACCAGAATTAATTACTCGAGTTATGTCTTGTTTAACTTAATTATTTTAGTATAAGTTATCTCAAATAAGTTGATTAATTACTATTATGTTGAAATTATCTTGAATAGGTCATTAATTATTTGAGGAGATAAATTAAGTGGTGAAATTGGAAGAAGGTAAGTAAATCTCATACACTTTGCTTGTTTTTGAATCTATGTATATATGTATGTTTTTTAATGAATAAATGTTTGATTTTTTTATTTTTGATGTATGAAAATAGGATTGAACATATGATTATTTTGTATTTTTGTTATATAAATGATAGATCATGCATATGAATGAAATGAAAAAATGATTTATGTTTAAATAATGATTTTATAATAGCTACATTTTTATGTCCCTAGAAAGTGGGATCATAGACATCAGAACTGGTTCTACGGTCTTCTAACGGGTTATAGTAGTTAGCATAGACATGATCATACGACCCTGCTAATGAGTTATAGTAGTTAGCGTAAGACTCTAGCTAACAGATTATAATAGTTAGTAATGATCATGAGGATAAAATTGTTGATACGATCAATGTTACGGGTTATAGTAGTGCCTGTAACTAACGATAAATGAATGATAATGATAATTTGTGATGAATGATTTTTATAAATTGATTCATGATTTGGTGACATATTTTGATATTGATTTATGATCTATAAATGCTTAATAAAATGTTGATTTTTGAACTATTTTTGATATTATGAGTTTATAAATGTTTTTGAAAATGATCTATATAGTACTATGAAAATTATATTTGATTCGATAAAATATGTAAACCTTTACTTACTGAGTTATGATTTGCTCATTTTTTATTTTTTTTTTATTTTACAGATAATATGAATGATAAGTATGATTACTCTTGAAAAAAATTAGAAAAATCAAGCATTAAAAAACTACTTAAAAATTAAAATTTTATAACATGTTATTTTTTTTAGATGTAATACTCGACTTTAAATCTTTTGAGACTTATTATTTAGTTATTTTACTTATTGAAAATCTTATTTTAATTGAAAATTTTTTAATGGTTATGAATTATGCTTCATATTACTTTGAAATTTTATTTCAAAATAATATGATCATATTATATTTCGATCTCGGGATATGACACATTTACTCTACGATCCTACATGCAAAGTGAGAAAGTCCGTCATAAGTGAAAGAAATACGTATTATGCTGCCAAGAAGGGCTTTCTATCATGAATTTAACATACCGCAGTTGCACTTCTCTCAGAGAAAAATACAAACTAGCCTGCCAAAGTCAAACCATTAATCATCCGTGATTTCTATTTCCAGATAAGGGATGTGGGCCATGACAGGCCAATATGCCCCTTTACCCTTCAAGCACTGTTGTTTTAGAAGCTGACAGTCCCTGATACAAAGTCTTCCAAGTTTTGCAGGTAAGCCTTCCATTGGTAAGCACTGAAGCTTAGAACACTCAGAAATTTCTAGCTCTTCAAGCAATGTCAGATTATAGAGGCCCATGGACAGAGATCGCAAATTTGGAAGTCTAGCAATATATATAGACACTAGAGTTGTGGGAAGTGGACACTTTTCATCTGGAAAGGAAACTATACCTGGTGCACCAACAATGGTCAATTCCCTGAGAGAGGATAGGGTGAGAAGGTTCCATTCTGACATGGGCTGCTTAAGATTCTTACAGTCCCAGATCACAAGTACCACTAGGTTAGGGGGCAAGCCACCTTCAGGAAAAGAGACAAGACCAGGACAGTCACAAATTGTTAGAAACTGAAGAGAAGTGAGACTCAGCATTTGTTCAGGTAGAGACCTGACACTGATGCAATCGGAGATATCAAATTTTCTCAGGTTGGGAAGATGCATGCCCGTTTCTGGGAAGTATTTCAGAGCAGGACACTCACTTAAGTTTAATTCTGTCAGATGAGTGAGACTTTGTAAGCACTCGGGCAAGCTTGTCATAGTCTTACATTTCGAGATAGAAATGAACTCAAGTGATGCATTTTTGTGCAGCATCTTATCAGAAAGGGGTTCCAATTGGGAGCAATTCCAAATCTTAAGTATTTTAAGGCTGGTGGGTAATTTGCCTTCTGGAAATGAAATGAGAGAAGGGCAACCAATGATCTCCAAGTTCTCAAGATGAGATATGCTGCTTGTGCTTTTATCAATCTGCATCAGTCCCTCGGGTAGAGACGTTAGACCTTCACAGTACCCAATTCTCAACCGTCTAAGTGTGGTAGTTATCCTGCCACTTGGAAAGCTTGTGAGAGCAGGGCAATCTTCAATCTCCAATTCTTCGAGAGGACAATTAAGCATCATCATCACACTAGGCAGAGACTTTAGAGCCCTGCAATCTTTGAGCTTAAGATTTTTCAGCATAGGTACAAAACTTGTCTTGGGAAAGAATACAAGATTTGGACACGATTCAATTTGCAAATCCACGAGAGATGTGAAGGCATGCATCCCCCAAGGAGGCTTCCATGATCCCAAATCTTCAAGACTTCTAGATAAACCTTGCTCATTTTCAGCCAATGACCCAAACTGCGAACAGCCCCTTATTTTCAGACACTCAAGAGAAGCAATATTCAATAGAATAGCACCCTTCTGCCATAATGATGTCAATCCATTGCAGTTGGAAATGACAAGAACTCTAAGTGCCCCTGGAAACTGTACAACCCCATTTTGGAGGCACTGAAGCTTTAGCATACTCCTGGGTGTGACTGATGTTAAAGGAGTTAGGCCAAGAATGCTTCCCAGCAACTCTACATTGCAATATTCTATATTTAATTCATCAAGAGATGAGAAATTCATAGATGAACCTTCTAACTTTGGGCAATGCTTAATTACAAGTTTCAAAAGAGAAGGAAGACGGCTAGGCAACTTTCCACTCAACTTGGGACAATCCTCTACCACAAGTTCATGGAGACAAGGAAATTCTTCCACCGAGTCTTCATTAGCTTGACTAGGGGAAGACCAGCATGTCCATTCCAACATATCCTTAAACCTTAGAATTTCCAATGAAGGAAAAGGCTTAACAGAAGGAAAACCATGTCCATAAAACTCAACATCCACCTTTTGGACACTATCCATGCCTATTATGGTCAACATTTTTAGTGAGGGTAGTCTCCCAAGTGATGGAAGACTTATGCTCTTTCTACATTTACAAAGTTCTAAGCACATTATGTTAGTCAATGAAGGATCACCCAACCAAGATGGAAATTTTTTACCGCCATAGAACAGAATACTGAGCTTCTCCAGATTTTTATGAGGTAGCAGCATGTCAAGAACATGCATTTCAGCTTCCTCATTTTGGCGATCAGGGCTCCATTGCAAATCCAATGCAGTTAAGCCATGCTTGTCCTTGAGATTAGCATTGCTAGCATCTTGAATATCTGAAACATTTTCCAATCCCAAAATGGAAAGCTCCCCCCGCAGATGCAACAAGCCCCTTAATTCACTAACAGCAGACCCAATGCCCTCGCCCACAATGAATTTGGTCAAAGTCTGAAGATTTTTCAAATTACCAATCTGAAATGGCATCTCCTGTAAATTACCAGTATCAGTAAGATCGAGAACACGAAGGTTCTCTAGATTTTTGATAACTTCTGGCAACTTAGTAAGTTCCTTGCAACTTTGCAATATCAACGTTTGCAAGTTGAAAAGAAAACCCACAGATTGAGGTAACTGTTTAATTCTACAGCGAGACAAATTCAGGTAGCGTAAATGCTTCAACTGACCGATGGAATTTGGTAACTCACTGATGCAATAACCAATCAAACATAGCACTCTTAAGCATCTCAACCTTGGCAGCTTATTCTGTAATACATCACCACTTAAATAGCAACATGCTGCCCAAGGTGGCATACAAGTTGGCAATGCAATCAAAGTTCTTAAATTCTTCATCTGACAGAGTATTTCAAATCTTTTTCCAACATCGTATTGTTTACGAAGGAAAGATAAATGACGAATCTTTTCAACAACAGTGCACAACTTATCACCCTTGAGCATATCCCTATCTTCAAAACTAAAGCATATTTCTTCAGAAACAGATTGAGCTAAATCATTTATGAGGTCGTGCATAACAAATCGAGTTTTGTTGCTGTTTGACTGCTGGAAAAATGATCGTGAGAATAACTCATTAAAATAATCCAAACCTATGTCCTCCATTTGCCTCTTACCTTTTGGCTGTTGTAAGAAACCCTCTGCCATCCACAGTAGAACCAACAAATCCTTGTCAAATTCGTAGTCCTTTGGAAATATGGCACAATAAGCAAAGCATCGTTTCAAATAGGAAGGAAGAAGATGGTAGCTCAACCTCAGAGCTGGAATTATGCCACTTCTTTCTTCAGGTAAATCCCATATCTTGCTCATCAAGATTTCCTCCCATTCATCCCGATTTACTTTTGTGCGAAGGAGTCCTCCCAAGGTCTTAACTGCGAGTGGCAACCCTTTGCACCTTTTCACTATTTGCTCACCAACCACTTTTAAATTTGGGTATCCATCAAAATTGTTAGCTCGAAGAGCATGCCAAGTGAATAATGAAAGACAATCATCATTTGACAATTCCTTCAAATGGTATCCCACATGGTTAGCCACGACTGCTGCAACTCTTTCATTCCGTGTTGTAATCAGTATTTTACTTCCAGCTGCGCCTGCTGCAAAGGGTTTGCATAGAACATCCCACTGCTCATAGTTCTCATTCCACATGTCATCTAAAACGATCAAAAATTTTCTCCCCAACAACTTCTCCTTTAGCCGCATTTGAAGTAAATTTAAATCCTCCAACTTGCCAATATCAGAAGCAACAGCATGAAGCAGTGTCTTTGTCACCCTAAGAACATCAAATTCCTCGGAGACACAAATCCAAGCTCTCAATTCAAATGAAGTCTCAATTCTCTCATCATCATATACTAACTGAGCAAGAGTAGTTTTACCTACACCTCCCATACCTACAATTGGAACCACATCCATTTCACCACCATCCATCAACAAGTTAATAATAGCATCTTTATCCCTTTCCCTGCCATAAACATGAGACTTATCAACAAGTGAACTGGTGGGCAGCCTCTCAAGCACTTTCTCAGATCTCCCTCTATGAATCTCTACTAAATTCAAATAACTCTTTTGTGCAGCTAAGTCAGCCAATCTTGCAGTAATTTCTTCTATTTTGGACTTTATCTTAGAATCGAACTTAATTGAATTCGAATTGATACCACAGAAACAAGACGGAAGGATGAACTTCCATACCTTATTGCTGCTTACTGAAGGCTGAGTCTGCTCCATTAGTTTGCGCCGCAAAGCTTCAGTAGCAAGTTCGTCAACAACATCTTCAGCATCAAAAGCAACGTCTTGTAAATCCCTGAGCCAGAGTTTCACAGCACGACTTGTGGTTTGCTTTTCTTCAGCATCCTCAAGCAAGGCATTTATTTTAAGCAACAATTTCTCCCATTTTTTCATTTCGGCTACAACTTGTTCATCCCGTGTGAATTTAAGAAAGTCAGGGGACGACAGCGTTTCAAATACGGAGCGGAAGAAAGCAGAGAGCACAGCATCAGCAACAGTGGATACAATAACCTCCATTCTAAAGTAAAAGAACTCAAATTGATAATGAAAGAGGCTTTCGGTGTCCAGAAACTCAACCCTGCGAAAGAGTAAAGACCCTTTGGAATCTCAAGCGTCATTTAGAAGGATAATAAAATTGATTACAGATTGAAAATAATCGTAAAAATTATTATAATTATAATTAAAAAAATTACTATAATTATAATTAAAAAAATTTAATAAAAAATTTATGTTAATTTGATTTTATTAAAATTAATTTTTAAATTCAATTGAAAATACAATAAATTTAATTACATCATACCGAAAGTCCATGAAATTTAATCGAAAATTTAGTGTTGGATCATTTAGAGATAAAGATGGTTATTTAGTAATTTAAAGGGTATAATAATTTTTTTTTATGTTAAAAGTCTTTAATAAATAATTAGAGATAATTTTAATGTTTGTGTAAGCTATTTGTTACTATGATATTTTCAATGCTATATCATTTAAACAGTATTCTTGTTGTCTTTTTAATGGTTTTCTATCACTAACTATAAATATGAAATTTAGACATCATAAAAGTAACACACATCACTTCATTTTCTTTTCATTACTCATTTTCTAACCTCATTTTTTTTTTTTATCTATACATCAAAATGCAAACACAAAAAATATTCCATTTCTTTACCTCTCTTCATCTTTCTTTTTTATCCTTTCAGAAATACTTCAAAACTAGAAACTTGGCACAAACATTTAGGATCATGGTGGTGAGATTAGTATTACGAGGTTGAAAATAATAAAAAAATAAAATTAATTATTATAATAATGAGATTAAAATTAATAATAAAAAATATATTTTGATGCAAATACATATATAATGATAAGATGAAATATAATGTAAAAAGAAAATAATTATTAAAAATATTCAATAAAAATTTATATATAATAAAATTTATAGTATATTTTTTATATTTATGAAATTAATAAATACTTAAAATTTATTATAATTATTTTATAACAAATAATAGTGAGATTAAAGTTTGTATATAATAAACTTCTAATATATTTAACATTTATGAAAATAATAAATTATTTAAATTTTTGGACTTAGGATTATTTAATTATTTTTTAATAAAAAATAAACAACCAAATAAATTTATTGACTAAAATAAATAAATAACTAAAACTTGAATAAATATTATAAATACCGAATTTTATCTGAGTCTACTAGATTAATCTTTATTTTCAAGTTTTGTTTATTAACTTTTTGATATTATTATAAAAATATAATAATTAAACAAAAAACAAAACAAAAACAACAAAAAATAGAAATAGAAAAAACAGAAAACCGGGGTGGCAGTGATGCCTTGCATGACACCATTGGCCACCCACCCTACTACCAGCACCATACCCTGCACTGCCAGAACTCTCACTAACCACCACTTACTCCACCCACCTCCCAGTTACCCAGGCCCTTAAAACCTCAACTTTTTCCCCATCACAGATCTCTTCCACTGATCAGTTTGCCCAAAGTTCCTTGCATATCACCCAACCCTCAAAGTCTTAGTCTCTACACACCCCACAAGACCTCTCTGTGTTCTACCTAAGGATCGACCCCTATCAAAGCCTTCACACCCAGAAACCCCAACTCTCCATTACTTAGAAAAATCTCAGCTTCCCACAGTGCTTCTAGCCCCAAAACATATTCCCCTAACATCACCCAACATCCCAAAATAATCCCCTCTCCCCTACAACTAACCACGAAAAAAATCCATAAAAAACACAGTCCTTACTGAATTGGTGAAGAAACCAATGCCAAGCCACCTGTAAAAAATAAAAAAAATTCATCAGTTTTGGTTTTTTTTTTTAAAAAAGAAGAGACTGAAAGCTTTAAGCTCCGATCTACGCTGATAGGAGCTGTTTCTGGCAAAATAGACATCGGATCTGAAAAATCACGTTGAGGTGAACGTTTGAGAGTTTTTTGTGTTTTCCAGCCACCGATGACCACTGGCAACTACCGTCGACGGTGACCTAGGCGGAGGTCAGCATGACAGCACGAACGTCAGTGACCAAATGCCGACAGAGCCCCTAGAGCTCTTTTTGGAGCTCTGAAACTTTTTTTTTTGGGCAGAAAGGTTAAAATGAGCTATAAAAAAAAAGTAAGTTTTATATAGAAAGCTAAAGTCCAAAACAATGTCGTTTTAGGCTAAGAAGGATCCGTGTATGGATCCAGATCTGATCGAGATCCACGTAAACCGACCCAGTAACCCACTTCAGTCAATTTTTAACCAGTCCAAACGAATTGTCAGTGAACCGATTTAAACTAATCTGAACCATCGAACCGCTGAACCAACCGTCGATCAAACCAGAGTTGATCGGATCGTTAACCGATCTGGTTCAAGTATATTTTTTTTTACTTTTTTATTTTTTTTGAATTTTTTATGTATTATTATTTTTGTTATTTTAAGTTTTATTTTTAATATTCATGCATGATAATTTTTTTAAAATTTGTTAAAATAAATATTTGATTGTTTTTAATAAAAATAAAATGAAAACAACTAAGACAATAATTAAAAATATATTAAAAATGGTAAAATAACAATAATAATAATCTAAAAAATAACAACAATAATAGAATAATAATTTTTTTGTTTTCCCTGTCTAGATGTTGGAGGGAATAATAAAAAAAATACAATTTTGCCTAGATGTTATGAAATTATATAAAAAAATTATAAAATGATAATAATAATAATAATAATAATAATAATAAAAATAAAATTAACAATAATAACAAAAAGTTTTCATAAAAAATATATGAAAAAGTTTAATTAATTTTCAAAAATCATAAAAATCGAACTTGTTATGAATGTTCCCTAGATGTTGAGAATTTTTGGAGATGTTCGTGTTTTTTAAAGATTAAAAAATCTAAACCCTAACCCTAAAATCCAAACCGTAAAACCCTTAAACCCTCGAAATTGAAACCCCAAATCCTTAAAACTCAAAAACTAAAACTTCGAACCCTAAAATCCAAAATCCAAAACCTTTAAATCCAAAACCTTAAAATCTAAAATTCTGAAAATCTCAAATTTGATACACATTCTTGAATCATCATCAAAAAGTCATCAAACCTTAAAAACCTACCCATGCCCTGAATCTATTCCTAAACTTTAAGGATATGTGTGAAAATCTCACATGAAATGATTTGTTACCAAATGCTACCTAGATGATGAAGTATTTAAGAAACTTTATTTCATTAAGTTTTTCATATGAATCCTTAATTCACTTTAACAATAAGGTTAATAACTGATTAATAAAAAGGTATAATAATAAAATGAGATCTTAAATATAAATAATCACACCTAAGCTCTGCCTAGATGATGGAGAGTCAAGGAGGTCTCATTATATTTAAGAATTCAATTTCAAAATTGCATTTCATCATTACGCATAACATTTATTAATGCATCTATTTATTATTGATTGCACTCAATTCCCATGTTTGTCCTTTTACTTATCATTAGTTGTCTAATAATACCATCGTTGGCATTTTTGCATAAAAAATGTGAAATAAAACAAAAATAACATCCCGAGGGGAATAATTATTGATACTTTGTTTAGATGTTAGAGAGTTATCAATAATTATCTTTTTCAAAGAATGTTGTTTTTATTTTCAAGGGATATCATAATAAATATCAGTCAAAAGTATTATCTTTAAAGTTTTGCCTAGATGTTAAAGAATTTTAAAATAATTCTTTAACTTAGAGATTTCTTCGATATTCCTAAATAAAGAATTTTGATAAAATCAATTTAAAAAAATATAAAGGGGAATTTATATTATTAAATATCAAATCAAAACCATTTCATCCAATATTGAAAATAACATATGATTAAATAGTACCAATTTATGGTATTGTGGGGGCGCTAATCCTTGTTCACACGTAACCGACTCCCAAATCCAATTTGATTTTCGTAGAATGAAATTCATCTTTTTGATAAACTTTAAACCCGTTTTTATAGTTTTATTAAAAAGATAAACTTTTGGGTGACTAATCACACCCTAAAAAAGATTGGTGGCAACTCTTTTTTTATTTTTTTTTATTTTAAATTTTTTTACATTTGGTGGTCCTAAAATCGTTACGACAGCTTGGCGACTCCATTAGGGACTTTTGAGAGTCAAGCTAAAATTTTAATTATGCGCTATTAATAGTTCTTGGATTTAATTGATTTTATCTTATATTTAATTTAATTTCTTTTATTTTAAATTTTCAAAATATATATACATACAAGTTAATAAATAAAATAAATTGCATGTTAGTTATTACTTTATTTTGATTCTGTGTTTATGATTTATTTATGTTATTTTGACTAATACATTACTTTGTACACACTTTGCATTTTCACTCGCATGTATGAGCTTTAGACCCGGGTTCTATCCCTTTTAAGAGGAAATAAAGTAGCTACGCTTTCGTGAGGTGATAACCTCCGCATTTGCTAGCGAAACACTTCCACTCAAATTGAACATTTTTCATTCATAGCCTGTAATGGTTGAGGATCGGGGTGCTTTACTAGTTCAGTGTGGACATCAGTGAGGAACAATTTAAGAACCTTTAGATGAATAAATCCTCACTTAGCATATAGAGAACCTTAGTGGATCAGCCTTCGATAGAGCATTGCCTTTTTGTAAAAATAAGAGAAAAATGTTTTCTTAAAGATTTTTTTTTTTACATATATTTCATTCCTTTGGTAGTTATCCAAAATTTACATTTTCATGAAATATTTTAGAATAAAATGATTTTTTAACATTATCCAACAAGCAAAAAGTAAAAAAAAAAAAGGTAAAAAAAAACATTTTCAAAGATTAAAGGTTTTCTTAGATTCTTTGTTTATTGACCGAATAAAGATTAATCTTCAAGTCCTAGTTATTTTGTGTGAAAAAAATTTTTCTTTTTCTTTTTTTGAATATTGTTTCATCTTTTTCACTTTCATTTGATCTTTGATGTACCCATATCTCATTCTCATGATAATAAGATAATACATGCATTGCATCTTATCCACGTCAATGTTTAGTACATGCATCCCATGTTATGCATATGTTGATAAATGATACATGCCTTCCATATGCATCTTAATGGGTAGTGCACACATTTCGT